TGTGTGTGTGTGTGTGTGTGTGTTGTTCCTTTCCCTCCCACCTCTGTGCGCACACTCCCACTCACTCACTCACACAAAGCACAACTAGGTGAGTACAACTGGGTGAGCACACACACACACACACACACACACACACACACACACACACACACACACACACATAGGGGGCCTCGTAGCCTGGTGGATAGCGCGCAGGACTCGTAATTCTGTGGCGCGGGTTCGATTCCCGCACGAGGCAGAAACAAATGGGCAAAGTTTCTTTCACCCTAAGTGCCCCTGTTACCTAGCAGTAAATAGGTACCTGGGAGTTAGTCAGCTGTCACGGGCTGCTTCCTGGGGTGTGTGTGTGCTGTGGGAAAAAAATAAATAGTAGTTAGTAACAGTTGATTGACCATTGAGACGCGGGCCGAAAGAGCAGAGCTCAACCCCCGCAAGCACAACTAGGTGAATACAACTAGGTGATTAATCACCCCCTCCCCCCTTTTCTTTTACCAGCGTCTGGGTGTGTGAGTTGGATTAGACGGGGGAGCGGGTGTACAGTGTAAGGCGAGGAGGAGTAATGTTATGACGACCAGAGACCTGCAGACCTAAAGGTGACCGCACCGCACGCATTGAGGGACCAGAGCCTCCATCTGGGACGTTTGAGTGCGTGCACGAGCGCGGGTATCGGTTTGTGCACGCACCTAAATACGCTCGTGGGAGATAAGGCGCCGTTACTGGGCCTTTTTTTTCTCTCGCCTCTCTCCATGGATCGTATAGTGTGATGATGGTTGGTTTTGGTTATGGTGTGTGTCTTTGTATTCACCTAGTTGTGCTTGCGGGGGTTGAGCTTTACTCTTTCGGCCCGCCTCTCAACGGTCAATCAACTGTTAGTAACTACTAACTTTTTTTGTCACACACACACACTCACACACACACTCACACACTCACTCACTCACTCACTCACTCACTCACTCACTCACTCACTCACTCACTCACTCACTCACTCACTCACTCACTCACTCACTCACACACACACACACGCGCACACACACACACACGCGCACACACACACACGCGCACACACACACACACGCGCACACACACACACGCGCACACACACACACACACACACACACACACACACACACACACACACACACACACACACCACTATACTCCTCGGTAGTATAGTGGTGAGTATCCCCGCCTGTCACGCGGGAAACCGGGGTTCGATTCCCCGCCGGGGAGGAATATTTTACCGAGGCGGGACCAAAGAGCCAAAGCTCAACCCCCGTAAGCACAAATAGGTGAGTACACACACACACACACGGAGAGAAGGGACTTCGTGGCAAATCGACAACATGGGTTCAGGGAGGGTAAATCTTGCCTGACCGGCTTACTAGAATTCTACGACCAGGTAACAAAAATTAAACAAGAAAGAGTAGGCTGGACGGACTGCATTTTCTTGGATTGTCGGAAAGCCTTTGACACAGTACCCCATAAGTGGCTGGTACATAAGCTGGAGAGATAGGCAGGAGTAACTGATAAGGTGCTCCAGTAGATAAAGGAGTACCTAAGCAATAGGAAGCAGAGAGTTAGTGAGAGGTGAGACCTCAGATTGGCGTGAAGTCACCAGTGGAGTCCTGTAGGGCTCTGTACTCGTTCCTATCCTGTTTCTGATATACGTAAATTATCTCCCGGACGGAATAAACTCATTTCTCTCAGTGTGTGATGACGAAGTCAAAATTATGAGGAGAATTAAGACAGAGGAGGACTGCTTGAGGCTTCAAGAAGACCTAGACAAACTGAAGAAATGGTCGTACAAATGGTTGTTAGAGTTTAACCCAAGCAAATGTAATGTATATTTATATATAAGATATTGCCCTTATCTACTGGAACGCCCTACCAGTTACTCCTGCCAATCAATAACTACACCGAAGAAAGTGTGTGTGTGTGTGTGTGTGTGTGTGTGTGTGTGTGTGTGTGTGTGTGTGTGTGTGCACGTGTGTGTGTGTGTGTGTGTGTGTGTGTACTCACCTAATTGTACTCACCTAATTGTGCTTGCGGGGGTTGAGCTCTGGCTCTTTGGTCCCGCCTCTCAACCGTCAATCAACTGGTGTACAGATTCCTGAGCCTATTGGGCTCTATCATATCTACATTTGAAACTGTGAATGGAGTCAGCCTCCACCACATCACTTCCTAATGCATTCCATTTGCTAACTACTCTGACACTGAAAAAGTTCTTTCTAACGTCTCTGTGGCTCATTTGGGTACTCAGCTTCCACCTGTGTCCCCTTGTTCGCGTCCCACCAGTGTTGAAAAGTTCGTCCTTGTTTACCCGGTCGATTCCCCTGAGGATTTTGTAGGTTGTGATCATGTCCCCCCTTACTCTTCTGTCTTCCAGTGTCGTGAGGTGCCTTTCCCGCAGCCTTTCCTCATAACTCATGCCTCTTAGTTCTGGGACTAGTCTAGTAGCATACCTTTGGACTTTTTCCAGCTTCGTCTTGTGCTTGACAAGGTACGGGCTCCATGCTGGGGCCGCATACTCCAGGATTGGTCTTACATATGTGGTGTACAAGATTCTGAATGATTCCTTACACAGGTTCCTGAACGCCGTTCTGATGTTAGCCAGCCTCGCATATGCCGCAGACGTTATTCTCTTTATGTGGGCTTCAGGAGACAGGTTTGGTGTGATATCAACTCCTAGATCTTTCTCTCTGTCTGTTTCATTAAGTACTTCATCTCCTATTCTGTATCCTGTGCCTGGCCTCCTGTTTCCACTGCCTAGTTTCATTACTTTGCATTTACTCGGGTTGAACTTCAACAGCCATTTGTTGGACCATTCACTCAGTCTATCCAGGTCATCTTGTAGCCTCCTACTATCATCCTCTGTTTCAATCCTCCTCATAATTTTTGCATCGTCGGCAAACATTGAGAGGAACGAATCTATACCCTCTGGGAGATCATTTACATATACCAGAAACAGTATAGGTCCAAGGACTGACCCCTGCGGGACTCCACTTGTGACGTCTCGCCAATCTGAGACCTCACCCCTCACACAGACTCGTTGTCTCCTGTTGCTTAGGTATTCCTCTATCCACCGGAGTACCTTCCCTCTCACTCCAGCCTGCATCTCCAACTTTCGCACTAGCCTCTTGTGTGGCACTGTATCAAAGGCTTTCTGACAATCCAAAAATATGCAGTCTGCCCACCCTTCTCTTTCTTGCCTTATTTTTGTTGCCTGGTCGTAGAATTCAAGTAACCCTGTGAGGCAGGACCTGCCATCCCTGAACCCATGTTGATGCTGTGTTACAAAGTTCCTTCGCTCCAGATGCTCCACTAGTTTTTTTTTTTGTGTGTGTGTGAACGTATGTGTACACTCATGTCGTTGAACTTAAAGGATGGAGCTAGGCTCCAAATTAGTCTTCTAAACGTGTGTGTGTGTTGTGTGTGTGTGTGTGTGTGTGTGTGTGTGTGTGTGTGTGTGTGTGTGTGTGTGTGTGTGTGTGTGTGTGTGTGTGTGTGTGTGTGAACGTATGTGTACACTCATGTCGTTGAACTTAAAGGATGGAGCTAGGCTCCAACTTAGTCTTCTAAACGTGTGTGTGTGTTGTGTGTGTGTGTGTGTGTGGAGTGTGGGGGGTGGTAATGCACTTATCTAGATAGGCTTGCAGGGTAGAGCACTATCTCCCAAACCCCAGCTCTCTATCGGTTAATACATTGCTTATCGAGTTAGGTTTGACGCTCTCTCTCTCTCTCTCTTGTCGCCCATATCGCTTGGTAACGACACGTTGATGGATTGTTTCCGCCGTAGTTCAACAGGGATTACAGAGGGGCACAAAAGGTCGTAATCAGACATCAGCTAATATATTAATACCTGATCGTACTGATAACAATCAGTGCACGGAGTCAGCCTCCACCATTCTTAAATCATTGAAATTAATTTGTCCTCCAGCATTAAATACATTCTTCTTAACATTCTGTTGTTGATTCGGGGACTTAATTAGTTCCTTCTGTGGGAAACTGTGTTTTTTTCCACTAATGTGAGATTTTGTTCCTCTAGTATTTCCTATTAATTCCCGCCTCAATGCTGTGGGATTAAACTGTTGATATAACTCTGAAATTTGTCCAGATCTTGTTTGTGTTCTCGCTAGTCAGGGGTATTTTTCCCCTCCGCATATCTAAAAGTGGTCTGACATACGTGGAATATGTTGACCTTTAATGACTCTTTGTTCTGCTGTGTGATGGCCAGTCCTTTTGTTGACCAATGTGACCACGTGTATGTGTCTTGTTTATGTTTCCAAAACGTCCATGAAATTCATCTAAAAAAAACAACTGACAAATAGAATCAGACGAGTTAAATCCATTGTCGCCTGTAATAAGTAAATAATGTATGTTACCAGATTATTCAACTAAACTTATCGCTTTGAATAACATGGCATGGCAAGCTCTTGATACAAAGCTTCCCATTTTCATTGCATGGAAAATGGGAGGATATTGAATGTTCGAATGCGAGTCGCCAGTGTGTGTGTGTGTGTGTGTGTGTGTGTGTGTGTGTGTGTGTGTGTGTGTGTGTACTGACCTAATGGTACTCACCTAATTGTGCTTGCGAGGGTTGAGCTCTGGCGCTTTGGTCCCGCCTCTCAACCGTCAATCAACTGGTGTACAGATTCCTGAGCCTACTGGGCTCTATCATATCTACATTTGACATATCATATCTATCATATCTGTGTGTGTGTGTGTGTGTGTGTGTGTGTGTGTGTGTAATAGAGACCCCTTCCACCTGCCCCCTCCCACCTCCCCCCTCTCACCCTCCCCCCTCTCCCCCCTCTACCCTCTCCCACCTAGTCTACATCTCCTATTTTGTGAAAAGGACAATTACGAGAAGGTTGACGTTGTCTATGTGGCATATCTCATTCAGGAGGGAAAATGTGAGGAATGTGCGGGTGTGAGGGGCACCAGATGTGCTGTTACAGCAGCTGGGGGGCCAGGATGTGTCATGTGACACCCAGTACTCTTTATGCTGCCTTATGCTGTTGCTGCGTCTGCTGTTGCTGCTGCTGTTGCTGCGTCTGTTGCTGCGTCTGTTGCTGCGTCTGTTGCTGTGTCTGTTGCTGCGTCTGTTGCTGCGTCTGTTGCTGCGTCTGTTGCTGCGTCTGCTGTTGCTGCTGCTGCGTCTCCTGCTGCGGTTACTCTTGCCTTATGCTGCTGCCTCTGCTGATACGCTTGATCATAATAAAGAATTAAAAGTTCTTTTAATAAACGTAGTTAAATAAACGTTGTTGTATAAACGTAGTTAAAAATACAACTTTTAACTACGTTTATACAACCTTGCATCAAAGTAACAATTGTAAGAATTGTATTTTTGTTATGTTATTTAGTGCGATTGTATGTTGAGAGAGAGAGATTAGGCCTTGTTTAGTGGTCCAGGTGGCCAAGCTTGTGTAGTGGCCCTGGTGGCCAGGCTTGTGTGGTGGTCCTGGTGGCCAAGGTTGTGTAATGGTCCTGGTGGCCAAGGTTGTGTAATGGTCCTGGTGGCCAAGGTTGTGTAGTGGTCCTGGTGGCCAAGCTTGTGTAGTGGTCCTGGTGGCCAAGCTTGTGTAGTGGTCCTGGTGGCCAAGCTTGTGTAGTGGTCCTGGTGGCCAAGCTTGTGTAGTGGTCCTGGTGGCCAAGCTTGTGTAGTGGTCCTGGTGGCCAAGGTTGTGTAGTGGTCCTGGTGGCCAAGGTTGTGTAGTGGTCCTGGTGGCCAAGCTTGTGTAGTGGTCCTGGTGGCCAAGCTTGTGTAGTGGTCCTGGTGGCCAAGCTTGTGTAGTGGTCCTGGTGGCCAAGGTTGTGTAGTGGTCCTGGTGGCCAAGCTTGTGTGGTGGTCCTGGTGGCCAAGCTTGTGTGGTGGTTCAGGTGGCCAAGCTTGTGTGGTGGCCCTGGTGGCCAAGCTTGTGTGGTGGTCCTGGTGGCCAAGCTTGTGTGGTGGTCCTGGTGGCCAAGCTTGTGTGGTGGCCCTGGTGGCCAAGCTTGTGTGGTGGTCCTGGTGGCCAAGCTTGTGTGGTGGCCCTGGTGGCCAAGCTTGTGTGGTGGTCCTGGTGGCCAAGCTTGTGTAGTGGCCCTGGTGGCCAAGCTTGTGTGGTGGTCCTGGTGGCCAAGCTTGTGTGGTGGTCCTGGTGGCCAAGCTTGTGTGGTGGTCCTGGTGGCCAAGCTTGTGTAGTGGTCCTGGTGGCCAAGCTTGTGTAGTGGTCCTGGTGGCCAAGCTTGTGTAGTGGTCCTGGTGGCCAAGCTTGTGTAGTGGTCCTGGTGGCCAAGCTTGTGTAGTGGTCCAGGTGGCCAAGCTTGTGTGGTGGTCCTGGTGGCCAAGCTTGTGTGGTGGTCCTGGTGGCCAAGCTTGTGTGGTGGTCCTGGTGGCCAAGCTTGTGTGGTGGTCCTGGTGGCCAAGCTTGTGTGGTGGTCCTGGTGGCCAAGCTTGTGTAGTGGTCCTGGTGGCCAAGCTTGTGTGGTGGCCCTGGTGGCCAAGCTTGTGTGGTGGCCCTGGTGGCCAAGCTTGTGTGGTGGCCCTGGTGGCCAAGCTTGTGTGGTGGTCCTGGTGGCCAAGCTTGTGTGGTGGCCCTGGTGGCCAAGCTTGTGTGGTGGTCCTGGTGGCCAAGGTTGTGTAGTGGCCCTGGTGGCCAAGCTTGTGTGGTGGCCCTGGTGGCCAAGCTTGAGTTGTGGCCAAGAGGATCGATAATCATCACGTGGGTATGGAGTCCGTAACCTGAGCGGCCAAGGGAACGTGGGAGGTGGTGGATGCTGGACCCCCTCAACCCTCCCCCATCACACACCCCACTAACTCCCCCCTCACTTATCCCCCCCTCAGTCATCCCCCCCCCTCAGTCATCCCCCCCTCAGTCATTCCCCCCTCAGTCATTCCCCCCCCCCACTCATTCCCCCCCCCCCACTCATCCCCCCCCCCACTCATTCCCCAATTCGGTATGTTCCAGCGCCGTCGCAGGAACTGTTAGCTCCGGAGTTGACCTCGAAGTGGGTGAAAGAAGGCACAGGGACTCCAAACCCGGAGACCGTCGTGGTCGGGGCCGGAGAACGACCAGCCCCATCAAGGGCAAGAACAACCCCAGCCTCCCGGAGCAGAGCCTGGGCCGCACGAGCCCCAAAACGTGGACGTCCTGTTCCCGCACCTACGGGTTTCAGACAGAGATCGTCACAGGCCTCTTTCACTCGAGGCCGGCTTCCCTCATGACCAAGCAGAAGGAAGAGTGATAATTATTAAATACAACAATTATTTTTTATAATAATCATATAATTATTTAAGTGCAACTGTGAAAATATAATTAGCTGTATTCCTTACAGTAATCTATGACACATTAATTGATTGATGAAGATTAAGCCACCACAAGAGGTGGCACGGGCATGAGTGGCCCGTATAGATGGTAGATGTTTGGAGTGAATGTGGTCGTTGGTAGTGTAACATCTTGAAGTGTGTGTCTTGATGGGGCGCTTGAGGCGTCTAAGACAAGCAAACGAGTGTACAGCGAGCGGTAGCAGTAACAATCCGTGGCCAGTGTCAAGTTAACAACGGTACAGATCAATGGGGTCGTAAGTTTCCCCTCTCACCCAACCATCAACTCCTTTAATGGGTAGGAGGATGGTATAGTTATTAGAGAAATAAGCAGTTAACAAATCCACAAGGGCCGTGACGAGCATTCGAACCTGCGTCCGGGAGCATCCCAGACACTTGATTTAATCGACTGAGCTACGACAGGGTTAAAAGGGTTGAAACCGAAGTTCTACTGAACTTACTGGATCTCTTTTAACCCTGTCGTAGCTCAGTCGATTAAGGCAGTGTCTGGGATGCTCCCGGACGCAGGTTCGAATCCTCGTCACGGCCCTTGTGGATTTGTTCATTTGATGCATCACGTTAGTGTGATCTCTGTGTGTGAAATAAGCAGTGTGCTTGGCCTCAGTTCTACCGAGAGGTTCTTCGGATGATTATAAAAAGTGTCTGATCACCCACGGTACCTCTTCTTTAACTTTATAAACAGTGGGCAATTAACTGCTTTCCTAGCAGTTCTACGTCGTTTATAGCACGTCACTACGTGAGCCTCGTTTGCCAGCCGCGGTAGTGTCGCTCCTCACGATCGTCGGCCAAGTCGAGGTGCCTCGACGAATCACAGTCGTTCCCGCCAAGGAATGATGCTCGGCTCTCATTGGTTAAGGCACCAAGCGTTGTTGATCTTAAAACTCTTCTGCCTTCATCTCTGGAAGTTGAAGCTCGACCGGCCCCAAACATCCTCTCAGTCAATCTCTCAATCTCCTCCTCCATCTTTTCCATGACCACGTTCGTCTCAGGGAACAGGATAAGATTATTATGATAATAAAACTGAATGGAAATGATCAGTATAGCGTTAATCCCACCTTCAGCTCTCAACGTTACTAGTTTTTTTTTTTTTTTTGAGAGTGAAGAGTATGGAGAGGCATAGGTCAAGGAAAGCGAAGAAGTGGGAAATACAGTGAGAGTTATGAAAGCAGGCGGGCTGTCCGCCTTACTGACACGATGTGTGGGTGATGGCAGCTAAGCTAAGCTTACTCTTTCTCTTGTCAGGGAGCTGTGAGTGTGAGAGATGTTCTTCACGTATTTCATCATGTTGACCAGATCACACACTAGAAGGTGAAGGGAAAACGATGTTTCGGTCCGTCCTGGACCATTTTAAAGTCGATGACTTGAGAATGGTCCAGGACGGACCGAAACGTCGTCGTCCCTTCAGATTCTAGTGTGTGATCTGGTCAACATACTTTAGCCACGTTATTGTGATTCATCGCCTACATATTTCAGCATATATAGATGTTTATAGAGGAATACTGTGTAGCAGTCATATATATACACACCCTGATGGTTCCACACATGTTGTTCTGTTTAAGGCTCTTTATTTTTATTATTATTATTTATCGATTATTTATATACACATACACACACACACACACACACACACACACACACACACACACACACACACACACACACACACACACACACACACACACACACACACACACGGGATCCAAGAGTCAATGCTCGATCCTGCAAGCACAAATAGGTGAGTACACACTATATAAATATATATATATATATATATATATATATATATATATATAATGTCGTACCTAGTAGCCAGAACGCACTTCTCAGCGTACTATGCAAGGCCCGATTTGCCTAATAAGCCAAGTTTTCCTGAATTAATATATTTTCTCCAATTTTTTTCTTATGATGTGATGAAGCTACCCATTTCATTATGTATGAGGTCAATTTTTTTTTATTGGAGTTAAAATTAACGTAGATATATGACCGAACCTAACCAACCCTACCTAACCTAACCTAACCTATCTTAGTAGGTTAGGTTAGGTGGCCGAAAAAGTTAGGTTAGGTTAGGTTAGGTAGGTTAGGTAGTCGAAAAACAATTAATTCATGAAAACTTGACTTATTAGGCAAATCGGGCCTTGCATAGTAGGCTGAGAAGTGCGTTCTGGCTATTAGGTACGACATATATATATATATATATATATATATATATATATAATATATATATATATATATATATAATATATATTACTAAATTTTTTCCAATTATTGGGGGATTTCTGGTCACTATTTCACCTGGGAATTATGTACTGTTGGGCTGGGTTTTCATTTAGTGAATCTTGGGCCACCAGCTGTGGGAGCGGGGCGTCTCATCTTGGAGTAATTTTTCTAACATTGGGTCTTCTAACATTTGGATGGTGTTCCACACCCTGATGGTTTCGTGCTGCAGTCTGATGTTTAGTGGCTGTGTGTTCAGGAGTTCATGGAGCTCCTGGATTGTCTGGTCATATGGAGGACGGTGTTTTGCTGCTCTCCTTAGCGCCTTATTTTGCACTGTTTGCAGTTTTTGCATGTTTGTTTTCTTTTAGGTGTATAGTGGTACTGGGGGATACTCTAGATGCGGGAGAACTAGAGCCTTATATAGATGTATCTGAAAGTTCGTACTGAGGCTTCGGAATCTCTTCGGTTTCCCTAAGGCTGCTTTTTTTTGGGGGGGGAGTAAAGAGGAAGGAGAGGCATAGGTGAAGGGAAGTGTAGAAGTGGGAAATACAGTGAGAGGTATGAAAGGCTGGTTTGGATTGGTTTGGCTGGTTTGATTGTCAATCAACTGTATGGAAAGGCTAAGGCTGCTTTGGCTTTGTTTAGTCGGTCCCTTAGGTGAATTTTTATCCCTGTTCTATTGATCATGAGTCCCAGTATTACTTATAAGGACAGTGTTTTGTTCCGTCATTCATTACGGACCCCCATACCCATCCCGTGGGCGGTGGTGGACCCCCATACCCATCCCGTGGGCGGTGGTGGACCCCCATACCCATCCCGTGGGCGGTGGTGGACCCCCATACCCATCCCGTGGGCGGTGGTGGACCCCCATACTCATCCCGTGGGCGGTAGTGGGAATGAGGGGTGGTGGCTGGCCGGTGTGAGCTTAGGGAGGGGGGGGAGGGGGGAGGAAGAGGAATGGGTGAGAGCAGATTTGGGAGAGCAAGGTCCGGTGACATAGTACCGTGACACTATAAATGTCTCTCCTCCACCCCCTCACTCTGACTTATTAGTCCCACACAAAAAACACTCTGCAACACAAACGCACATACGCTCATGTACGCTTACACGCGCGCGATCGAGCACGCACGCAGGCTGAAAATCACAGTGAAAATACTAAAAATAAAAAAGGGTAAGAGTACCTAACAGTCATGAAACAGTAAGCCATCCCGAGAGAATGTAAGGGAAGAGGAAACTGACAACCGAGGTCCCACAGAACTCGGTTTCATGTGTGCGTGCATGCGTACTCACCTAGTACGTTCTAACTAGTATGTACGCACCTAGTATGCACACCTAGTTGTACTCACCAAGTTGTGCATGCTGGGGTTGAGTTCTGGCTCTTTCGTCCCGCTACTCAACTGTCAATCAACAGGTGAAAAGTTGTGTACTCACCTAATTGTGCTTACGGGGGTTGAGCCGTGCACTTTCGGTCCGCCTCTCAATTCTCAATCAACTGTTTCTACTACTACTACTTTTTTTTCTCCACACCACACACCAGGAAGCAGCCTGTGACAGCTGACTAACTCCCAGGTACCTATTTACTGCTAGGTAACAGGGGCAGAGGGTGAAAGAAACTCTGCCCATCGTTTCTCGCCGGCGCCCGGGATCGAACCCGGGACGACAGAATCACGTGTCCAGCGGGACAAACAATGGACAGACAATATACCTGCCCGAGGAGACAAAGTCTTACGTCTCAGTGATTGCAGATACACAGCTAATGAGGTAAAAACTGAAGAAGACTGCAGTAAGAGAGCTCCCTGAACAAGCCGGAAATGTTCCGATATATGTAGCCACTGACGTTCAATTAATTCCCCCCCCCATGTTCCAAATATTCCCCCCCTAAAAAACATATGAAAATATATATTCCCCCCACATGTTAAACAGTATTTCCCCACCATACATCCGGAAATGTATCGACAAACCTGATTATTTCCCCACAGGTCGAAATATTTCCCCACCAGAGTTCACCCCGTATACGCACCTCTCAGCCGTCAAATAGAAGGCGTTAATACAGAAATCCTTCCCCCAAAAAAGGACTTAAAAGAAGGAAAAAAATATATTTCCTCCTGGCGGCGGCCCTCTAGAGGCATAGAGGCGTCCTCTAGAGGCATAGAGGCGTCCTCTAGAGGCATAGAAGCGTCCTCTAGAGGCATAGAGGCGTCCTCTAGAGGCATAGAAGCGTCCTCTAGAGGCATAGAGACGTCCTCTAGAGGCATAGAGGCGGCCTCTAGAGGCATAGAGGCGGCCTCTAGAGGCATAGAGGCGTCCTCTAGAGGCATAGAAGCGTCCTCTAGAGGCATAGAGGCGTCCTCTAGAGGCATAGAAGCGTCCTCTAGAGGCATAGAGACGTCCTCTAGAGACATAGAGGCGGCCTCTAGAGGCATAGAGGCGGCCTCTAGAGGCATAGAGGCGTCCTCTAGAGGCATAGAGGCGGCCTCTAGAGGCATAGAGACGGCCCTCTAGAGGCATAGAAGCGTCCTCTAGAGGCATAGAGGCGGCCTCTAGAGGCATAATACGCGAACACAAACCCGGTAAAACCAGCTTCGCGTGGGGGGGGAAGAAACAAATAATCAGGGTCAGGTTTTCACGGCCACCTCCTTTATCGATTATGACCCTCAAGTCCATTGTCCATACGGGCGTCTTTGATCCTCAGAAACGCGTCGCATCGCATTTATGCCGTTTCCCGGAGACGAGAGGAGAGGCCGGGGCCGTTATGTGGCGATCAGGGTGGACAGTAAAGAGGCTGATAAAAGGAGGAGGAGGAAGAAGAGGGGTGAGGAAGGGGAGGGGAGGGGGGGAGGCGATAGGGCAATGATGAAAGAAGGAGCGCATCGGAGCGTGGGTGATGCGAGACACGGTCATTCGACGGCCCATCCTGTATTGCTGTAATTTGTAGCGCCGACGACCTGGACTGTAGAGGGGATTGGGGTGGTGTATGGAGGGGGGGAGGCTGGGATTGGGGTGGTGTATGGAGGGGGGGGGGAGGATGGGATTGGGGTGGTGGAGAGGGGTGGCTGGAATTGGGGTGGTGGAGAGGGGTGGCTGGGATTGGGGTGGTGGAGGGGGTTGGCTGGGATTGGGGTGGTGGAGGGGGTTGGCTGGGATTGGGGTGGTGGAGGGGGGGGGGGGGGGTGGCTGGGATTGGTGGGGGCTGGGAAGGGAGAGGCGTTGATTGGGGGAGGGGGTGGGGTGGGGGGTTGATATGGTGGGTGTGGGTGCTAATGTGTATGAGAGGAGGTGCTGATGTGGGTGTGTAGGGGTGGGATGGGGGGGGAGCGGACGCGTAAAGGGCCGGGTGGGAGGGGGGGGAGAGAGGCGGGGGTTACTATTGTAGTGCGTGGGGGTTGTGGAGGTAATGTAGCACTTACCTATCAGTGACAACTGGGGAGATGAGGTCTCTATGTCCCCGCCTACTACCTGATGTGTTGTACTTCCTGTGTTATAATTGAATTATTCTGGCGTTCGAATTCTTTGTCGAATCTGGTACTAAAGTTGCAGATGAAGGGGGGCTTCCACAACTACTTCTTCCAGTGCAGTCGTCGCTTGTTCACTACCCGTACAGTGCAGGGTACGAGTATTTCCTTATATTTCTTCGACTCATTTGCGTTCTCAGCTTCCTGTAATATTCTCAGCTTCCTGTAATGTTCTCAGCTTCCTGTAATGTTCTCAGCTTCCTGTAATGTTCTCAGCTTCCTGTAATGTTCTCAGCTTCCTGTAATGTTCTCAGCTTCCTGTAATGTTCTCAGCTTCCTGTAATGTTCTCAGCTTCCTGTAATGTTCTCAGCTTCTGGTAATGTTCTCAGCTTCCTGTAATGTTCTCAGCTTCCTGTAATGTTCTCAGCTTCCTGTAATGTTCTCAGCTTCCTGTAATGTTCTCAGCTTCCTGTAATGTTCTCAGCTTCCTGTAATGTTCTCAGCTTCCTGTAATGTTCTCAGCTTCCTGTAATGTTCTCAGCTTCTGGTAATGTTCTCAGCTTCCTGTAATGTTCTCAGCTTCCTGTAATGTTCTCAGCTTCCTGTAATGTTCTCAGCTTCCTGTAATGTTCTCAGCTTCCTGTAATGTTCTCAGCTTCTGGTAATGTTCTCAGCTTCCTGTAATGTTCTCAGCTTCCTGTAATGTTCTCAGCTTCCTGTAATGTTCTCAGCTTCTGGTAATGTTCTCAGCTTCCAGTAATGGTCTCAGCTTCCAGTAATGTCCTCAGCTTCCAGTAATGTCCTCAGCTTCCAGTAATGTCCTCAGCTTCCAGTAATGTCCTCAGCTTCCAGTAATGTCCTCAGCTTCCAGTAATGTCCTCAGCTTCCAGTAATGTCCTCAGCTTCCAGTAATGTTCTCAGCTTCCAGTAATGTCCTCAGCTTCCAGTAATGTCCTCAGCTTCCAGTAATGTCCTCAGCTCCAGTAATGTCCTCAGCTTCCAGTAATGTCCTCAGCTTCCAGTAATGTCCTCAGCTTCCAGTAATGTCCTCAGCTTCCAGTAATGTCCTCAGCTCCAGTAATGTCCTCAGCTTCCAGTAATGTCCTCAGCTTTCAGTAATGTTCTCAGCTTCCGGTAAGGTCCTCAGCTTCTAGTAATATCCTCAGCTTCCAGTAATGTCCTCAGCTCCAGTAATGTCCTCAGCTCCAGTAATGTCCTCAGCTCCAGTAATGTCCTCAGCTTCCAGTAATGTCCTCAGCTCCAGTAATGTCCTCAGCTTCCAGTAATGTCCTCAGCTCCAGTAATGTCCTCAGCTTTCAGTAATGTTCTCAGCTTCCGGTATTGTCCTCAACTTCTAGTAATATCCTCAGCTTCCAGTATTGTCCTCTCGTCCTACTTTCTATCACTTTAAAGAGGCTGTCCTCCAGCCTCTTTACTCCAGATTCCAAGCCGGTGCTGCATATATGTTCCGTACTGACCTAAAAAAAAAAAAAGACTGTGTATTAAATTGAGAGAGTTCTGATTTAGTTCCTTAAACGATGTTCTAATGTTTCACAGGTCCAATATGCTGCAGATGTTACTCTGTGAGTGCCTCTGGAAATAGGAAACACACAACTAGAATGGCTCACTGGAGGCTCTGTTCCTGGAAGACATCAAAAATCATACCTGTGATAGAATGTATACCTTCTAATGAACTAGAATGAATAATGTAGATATTTGAAGAGATTTCATAACCAAATGACAGTATGGGGGTACTGTCGGGGACCCCGTACTATCACACCTTCCTGAGCGGCATGATCAGATATCGATGATCAAGCAGGACAAGGCAGGAAGGGTTGATTCCATTTTCCTGAACTGCAAGAAAGTTTGCGACACTATACCACGCAAGAGGATTCCTATACTGATTTGAGAAGCTTAGGACATGTCGAAAAGGGTACAAGAATAGCTATCACACCAAGAGAGTGAGTCTGAAGGAGTATGGAGGCCCGAAACAAATGGAAGGAACTATACTCGTACCTCATGTAAGTGTGGCCAAAAAGTACAATTCACTGAAAAGCTGTGGAAGCCACCTCCATCCACAACTTTAAGGCCAGTCAGTATAGATTTCGAGCGTCAGAGTAGTTAAAATTACAGCAGAACGTGGCAAGTAGGCGAGGCATAAACAGCTGAACTTCACTCACCATAGTAACTGTTAGACAAGTAGCAGAAGGTAAATCCAGGGGCCCGCACTGGGATCCCCTCGGCTTTTAATATAAGTTAATAACAAAACTATGGAAAGACCCAACGCGTCCATACTTACGTAAAATCCCAAAGTGACACCGTAGTGACACAAGGAGTTTAAACAGAACGCATGCAGACTGTTCTCCGAGGGCCGGGACAAACCTGAGAGCAGCTCTGATGATGGCGGTCCAATGACTTGGGCTGGACGGTAGAGCGTCAGTCTAGCTTCATGCAGGTTGGCGTTCAATTCCTGACCGCCCAAGTGGTTGGGCACCATTCCTTCCTACCCCTCATCCCAAATCCTTATCCTGGCCCCTTTCCAAGCGTCATATAGTCGGAATGGCTTGGCGCTTTTCCCTTGATAATTCCCCCCCTCTGATGATGGCGACTTCAGCCTAAGCTGGAATAGTGAGAGGAGAGAATGAACAATGCTTGAATCGGAGAAGGAAATGAATTAACAATATAACATCAACTGCGTGCACGAGGTTTGCAATGATTCAAATAATTTTTAGAAATTTGAAAGAAAAGATCTAAAGGGACCTAAGCAAAGAAGCGTTCAGGAACATTGTTCAGTTTCCTGTAGGATTCCATGTCTAAAAACCTTTCAGGAAGCTGGTCATGGAAAACTTCAAGAGCTGGAACAAGAAAACCTTCAGGAACCTGGACAAGGAATCTTTCACGAACTTGGACACAATCCTCAAGAAAAAGGAAGCCTTCAAGAACGAGGACAATAAAGCCTTTGAAATTGTAAATAAAGAAGCCTTCAGAATACGCAGTACATAACCTATGTGAGACCAGTCCTAGAATATGCAGATCTGGTGTGTGACCCAGTTGTGCCATAATGTTGTGAGCTGACTCCTATTGGCAGTGGCGAGAGCTGCATGGGTGGGAACAATGGTCACAGGTGATATACTGAAGGGCTGAGTCCAGAAACCTATGCTTACCAACTTCCTCCCCCCCCCCCCTCTCCCATTTCTCTCTCTCTCTCTCTCTCTCTCTCTCTCTCTCTCTCTCTCTCTCTCTCTCTCTCTCTCTCTCTCTCTCTCTCTCTCTCTCTCTCTCTCTCTCTCTCTCTCTCTCTCTCTCTCTCTCTCTCTCTCTCTCTCTCTCTCTCTCTCTCTCTCTCTCTCTCTCTCTCTCTCCCTCTCCTTCTCTCTCCCTCTCCTTCTCTCTCCCTCTCCTTCTCTCTCCCTCTCCTTCTCTCTCCCTCTCCTTCTCTCTCCCTCTCCTTCTCTCTCCCTCTCCTTCTCTCTCCCTCTCTCTCTCTCTCTCATTCTCTCTCTCTCTCTCTCTCTCTCTCTCTCTCTCTCTCTCTCTCTCTCTCTCTCTCTCTCTCTCTCTCTCTCTCTCTCTCTCTCTCTCTCTCTCAAAATGTTTCTTTCGCACGCACGCGCACGCATACACACTCACACAATCACAGGACTCCGTGCGTGGCCACTTTTGTCCCGGCGTCAACACGAGAACTAATACAATTGGACCTTACCTATTTACACGTCACACCAAATGCAACACGATATAGACCTACTAATTGCAATAGTAATCCGATGAACCGCGAGCGCCAAGCCACTCTCGCTCCTCGGTACCCCCAGCATGAAGTCGTTTGTCCCCTGGTGATGGGTCTTGGGGATACGCCCCTCAGCCTCACGGTGAAGGAGCTGGAGGGGCAACTCATGTAAAATTAGTTTCAGATTCTTGTTGTAGCTCGTTAGTAAAGAAATTATTTTGTCATTTGGATTGTATTCGAGATGGTGATGGGGGAGGGGGAGGAGGAGGGACGGGTGGGGGGGGGGGGGAAGAGGAGGGTTATTTGTTC